ATTCAGACCAGACATAACAGTTGAGGTTTTATTGATGGCACAGTGATGCCAAAGGGAATTAGTCTTTGGCTGTTGGATATGCTGCATGCCCCGGCCAGAGCACCATAATGGTGTGAAAGACACAGCCTCACTACGTGGGGACAGCCCTGGCCTGGGGTGGGGGAGGCTCAAGGAGAGAAAAAGTGTGTCTGCTTTCTAGATCCAAGGGCCCCTGTGTTACTGGGGACTCTAAAGTTTGGGCGAGATGGAGGAGACAAATGTCTGTTCTCTGGTTGCAGGGGTACCCTGCTGACGGGAACTAGCAGTGTCCTTCTACGGGGCCCCCCGGGCTGTGGGAAGACCACAGTAGTTGCTGCTGCCTGTAGTCACCTTGGGCTCCACTTACTGAAGGTGAGGGTCTCTGGAGATTAGAACCCCAACTATTTCCCCTCCTCAGCTCACGTTCTCTCTCTCTGCTGCTTCCTCTCGCCTCCCTCCTCTGTCTACTCACAGGCCCTAGCACTTCAGCCCAGTGGGTCAGGCATATTCCCATGATGCTCAGCTACGGAGAGGTACTTTCAAGGAGAGGGTTTCAAGATATTGGTGGACAGTCCAGGGACTGGGGTAGGGTAAAAAAGAGATAGGACTTGGCCAGGGTACCTGGCCAGGATGGGGACATCCCTGCCCTCCAGAGAAAAAGATGGCCCTCTGACTCCTCCTCCCCCTCATTCTCCTGCCCTTGTCATGCTTGCCTCTTGCTCGCAGACCCATTGGGACCCCCTCCCCAGGTGCCCTGCTCCAGCCTCTGCGCAGACAGTAGTGGGGCTGTGGAAACGAAACTGCAGGCTGTCTTCTCCCGGGCCCGCCGCTGCCGGCCTGTGGTCCTGTTACTCACAGCTTTGGACCTTCTGGGCCGGGACCGCGATGGGCTGGGTGAGGATGCCCGTGTGGTGGCTGTGCTGCGTCACCTCCTCCTCGATGAGGACCCCCACAACAGGTATTTATACAGAGCTGGGTCTGTCAAAGCGGGGGAGGCCAGCCAGGTGCAGTGGCTCCCGCTTGTGATCCCAGCACACTGGGAGGCCAGGGTGGGTGGATCACTTGAGGTCAGGAGTTCTAGACCAGCCTGGCCAACATGGTGAAATGCCATCTCTACTAAAAATACAAAAATTAGCTGGGCATGGTGGTGGGTGCCTGTAATCCTAGGTACTCGGGGGGCTGAGGCAGGAGAATCGCTTGAACCCTGGAGGCAGAGGTTGTAGTGAGCAAGATCACGCCACTACACTCCAGCCTGGGGGATAAGAGCAAGACTCTGTCTTAAAAAATAAAAAAGTGGGTGGAAGGCCTAGCCTTCCTACTTTTCAGCGTTTCAGTCCTCCCTTCTGTCACCCCTCAGTGGTTTCTCAGTCATCTCCTGCCCATTTGGCTGCCCTCTAAACAGCCCTGAGCTCAGCATCTTAGGGGGATCTAGAGGGAGGAGTCTGTGGTATAGCATTTCTTGGGGAACACTTGGTTAAAGATGAAGCACAGCCTGTGCCCTCAATGTGAGGGGGAAGCACAGTTCTCCCATCTAGGAACTGGGATAGATGCTTGTCTCCCTATCCCATCCCAGCACCCATCTCACCTCCCTGCCCTTCTGGGCCGACCTTGGGACAAGGCAGTGCACAGGAGCTGCCAGCCATTCAGCGCCCATTCCTCTGCCTGCAGCTGCCCTCCCCTCTTGGTCGTGGCCACCACAAGCCGGGCCCAGGACCTGCCTGCTGATGTGCAGACAGCATTTCCTTATGAGCTGGAGGTACCTGTGCTGTCAGAGGGGCAGCGGCTCAGCATCCTGAGGGCCCTCACTGCCCACCTTCCCCTGGGTCAGGAGGTGAACTTGGCACAGCTGGCACGGCGGTGCGCAGTAAGTATCAAGGCAGAGTACTGGCCTTCCCTAGGAGGTCCCTGGCTTTTGTCACAAGAACTCAGTCCTGTTGCCCTCTGAGAGTAGAAAACCCTAAGGCATCAACAGGGGCCTCTGCTCCGGCTAGGGGACAGTCCCCTGAAGGGTCCTGCCTACTGTGCCCTGCTCATATGTCCTTTCCTGTGGTCCCTAGGGCTTTGTGGTAGGGGATCTCTATGCCCTTCTGACCCACAGCAGCCGGGCAGCCTGCACTAGGATCAAGAATTCAGGGTAAGAGGAGTTGGGTACAGGAGAGGAAAGCGGGAAAGAAGAAATGGATGTAGATGGGTGGGTGGTGAGGAAGGGAGAAGGGAATGGATGCTGATGGGGAGGAGGCCTCATGCGAGATCCTCCAGAGGCCTCCTTGTGTTCCTCTTTGCAGTTTGGCAGGAGGCTTGACTGAGGAGGATGAGGGGGAGCTGTGTGCTGCCGGCTTTCCCCTCCTGGCTGAGGACTTTGGGCAGGCACTGGAGCAACTGCAGACAGCGCACTCCCAGGCCATCGGAGCCCCCAAGGTAGAGACTAAATTCTTGGAGGTGGGATAGGAGCCCCTCCACCAGCATATCCCAACCTCGTACTTTCCATCTCCTAGATCCCCTCAGTGTCCTGGCATGATGTGGGTGGGCTGCAGGATGTGAAGAAGGAGATCCTGGAGACCATTCAGCTACCCCTGGAGCACCCTGAGCTACTAAGCCTGGGCCTGAGACGCTCAGGCCTTCTGCTCCATGGGCCCCCTGGCACCGGCAAGACCCTCCTGGCCAAGGCAGTAGCCACTGAATGCAGCCTTACCTTTCTCAGGTGGCCAAGGGGCCTGGAAGGGATGGCGGGTGGATCAGGGGCTGCAACACGCTGGGGAGCAGGAGCAGGAGGGGCTGCCCAAGAGGTCAGTTGTGTGTATGTGCATCTGACATCCTGCTCACATCCTCTCACTCAGCGTGAAGGGGCCAGAGCTCATTAACATGTATGTGGGCCAAAGTGAGGAGAATGTGCGGGAAGGTGAGTGAGCAGGGAGGGGCAGGGCTTCCCATCCTTCCCAAACCCCGATGGCCTCTAAGCCCCCCCACCCCCAGGCTACTCATGGTCATTCCTAATCCTCCTTTCCACAAGTCAGGTTCCTGCCCACCTGGGTCTGGTACCTGGAGTGCCAGTGCTGTATTGTCAGACCCCAGCCTCCCTCCCTGCTCTCGCTTAACTTCAACTCCCCACCAGCTTCCTCCTCCTGTGGGCCCCTCTCTCTCCAGTGTTTGCCAGGGCCAGGGCTGCAGCTCCATGCATTATCTTCTTTGATGAACTGGACTCTTTGGCCCCAAGCCGGGGGCGAAGTGGAGATTCTGGAGGAGTGATGGACAGGTGGGGGTCTGAGTGGGAATGGAGGCTCGGGGGTCCAGATAGAAGTTCCTGCCATTTCAGTTCTGAGATAGCATAATGGAAGCTGAAAGGGGCCATGAAATTGGGCAGGGGCCACTGAGGAGAATGGAGGCCTACCTGGAGGGGCACACTGGGCACAGCTGAGCAGAAAGTCCCTGTTGAGACTGCCTGTAAGGAAAGGTACCACAGGCAGGGACAGAGTCTGAGGGGACACCAAGGACTGTTGCTCCCTTCTCTCCAGGGTGGTGTCTCAGCTCCTTGCTGAGCTGGATGGGCTGCATAGCATTCAGGATGTGTTTGTGATTGGAGCCACCAACAGACCAGATCTCCTGGACCCTGCCCTTCTGCGGCCTGGCAGGTGGGCCCCTTGTGCCGCTCACCTCATTCTATGCCTCCTTCACCCCTCGTGGCTGGGCTCCCTGACACTTAACACCTGCTTATCTCCCTAAAGATTTGACAAGCTGGTGTTTGTGGGGGCAAACGAGGACCGAGCCTCCCAGCTACACGTTCTGAGCGCCATCACACGCAAGTATGCCCTGATAGAGGAAGACTGCAAAGGGCTTGGGCCTTGGGATGCTTAGGGGATGCATGCAACATGCAGGATGACCTGGTCAGCACCAGCCTTCGAGGGAAGTGATGTCAACTGTTTCTTCCTGTATCCCATAACAGATTCAAGCTAGAGCCATCTGTAAGCCTGGTGAACGTGCTGGATTGCTGCCCTCCCCAGCTGACGGGCGCAGACCTCTACTCTCTCTGCTCTGATGCCATGACAGCTGCCCTCAAACGCAGGGTTCGTGACCTGGAGGAAGGTAAGCCACTTGCCAGCCTAAGAGGTCAACTCAAAAGCTAGTGGGGTGCTGGGTGCACCTGAGTCTCAGCTACTTGAGAGGCTGAAGTGGGAGGATTGCTTGAGCCCTGGAGTTTGAGACCAGCCTGGGCAACACAAAGAGACCCCATCTCTAAAAAAAAAAATCTAAGGGAAAAAAAGCTAGTGGGAGACAAATCTACTTCTGGATTTCAGAGGGAGGATCACTGACATCTAATAGGTCCGGAGCAGGAAGGCACCTTCCCAGGGCTCTCCCCTGCCTGGGTATAGACTATAGCCTCTGTTCCCCAGACTGGATGGGGACTCTGGCCTTACCTCCCCACTTGTCACCTCTAGGGCTGGAGCCAGGGAACTCAGCACTGATGCTCACCATGGAGGACTTGCTGCAGGCTGCTGCCCGGCTGCAACCCTCCGTCAGTGAGCAGGAGCTGCTCCGCTACAAGCGCATCCAGCGCAAGTTTGCTGCCTGCTAGGAGCCCCCCGGGGTCTGGGACCCCACCCAGCATGGCTGCAGGTACCTTGATAGCCCACAGAGAGATCTAGGAGGGAAGGATTCCTCCTCAGGCTGCTGCCAACCCACCTGGAGGCCACCTCCCTCCAGGAGATTCCAGGGTGCAAAGGGGCATTGGGACAGCAGCAAGAGCTCAAGAGACATGTCCTGCCTACCTGCCTCTCCTTCCAGGAGGAGGGCCAGGGCCTTGGGTTCTGGGGATTAGGTCCTGAGAGGGCTCATTTTGTGGCTGAAAATAAAGTGTGTGCTGCCCCCTACTGGTGTGGCATGAAAGGTTGTCGTGGGAAAGAGCAGGGCTGAGAGAGGAGTACGCGCTGGGGGAGGGCAGGAGTGGGCATCATGGGAGCCTCATCCTCTGACATAAACACAAGGCATGCTGGAACTGAAAAAAGCACATACTATATTGTTGACCCCTCCGTCTGCGGAGCCCACATCCCTGCACCCCATCTGTAGTCTGCTCTAGAGGCCGGGGCTGGTGTGTGGCTGCTGGTCCCCATCTTCCAGACAGAGCCTAGCAGTGCCTGGTTGGAGGCTTGTGGGAGCTGAGGCCACACTCAGTCTGTCCTCTTGAGCACGTGGATGAAGTAGCAGGGAACGTAGGCTTGGCCTGGCTTGTAAGGCTTGAAGTCGCCCAAGACGCTGTGCTGGCACTTGCCCCCGAAGGCTGCTTGGACCAACTCCGTGAAGGATGCCAGACAATGCGGGTAGTAGGAGAGCCGGAACTTACTGTAACAGAGCCCCAGCAACCATGAGGACTGGTGGCCTCAGCTCCCCCGACTACCACCTCACCCGCACTGAGCCAAGTAGTACCTCAAGCCAGGAGAGCCATCCTGGCCAGCCCCCGGCACTTGCACTGTGTAGTCCAGGGTCACCATGTGGGCCTTGTTGTTCACTGTCAGCACTGACGTTGTGATGTCCTTGGTCAAGTCACTCTATAGGTGGTGTGGCAGGCTGCATTAGCCTCTGTAACCCACCTTGGGGCCACTGGACCCTCCCTTACCCCCATCCCCGCCCCCAGAGGGCCCCACCTTATAGTAGATGTTCTTCCCTGGGGGTGCACAGCCTGTGCTGAGGATGTGGTCGTAGTTGCGATGATCAATGACCAGCAAGCCCCCTGCCCGCACCATGCTTGCAATGTTTTTCAGCGCCAGCCGGTGCTCACTCTGGTCCCCTGAGCTCCAGGCAGGGGCAGAAATCGTTCATCTGCTCAGGGCCCCCAGCACCAGTCTCCCTCCCATCTCTTCCCCTCCCCAGGGGTGCCAGAGCCAAGGTGAGAGAGGCAGAGTCTGCTTTGGCAGGAGAGCAGGTGCCCAGAGGTCTGTGAAAGGGGATACAGCTCAAGGCAAGGACTGTGCCCAAAGTCACACCCTCTCTCACCTTTGCAGTCTGGCAAGTGAGCAAAACTGTTTCCAAGACAGATGACAGCATCAAAGCCACCCCCTGCTGGCTGGGGCACATCTTTGTCCAGAGTCATCCAATTGGCTTCTTCGATGACTGGAGGCCAGGAAGGGAAAGAGGAATCAGGGAGGCACAGTGGTACTGGTAGCAGCCACCTCCACCAAGTGCAGTCCTGCCTGGGTTTCTTTTCAAGACACACAAACTCCCTGTTCACTTAAGGGGAGGAAACAGGAGGGGTCAAGGGAGGAGTAACCCTGGTTGGGAAGGAGGGCTCTGTGCTTATGGGTTTTTCTTTGAAGGGAGAGACAAGATGCCATAAACACAGTTAAAACCAGCTCTTCACACCCTGTATCTTATTTTGGAGCTTAAGCTTTACTTTTCAGAGAAATGATAGTAATTTTGCTGTTTCCCTGAGGAAAACACAACACTCCACCCCCACCCCCACCTAAAGGAGCCCCAGGCAGAATGAACAGTGTTCCTGGTGGCTAGGCTGAGAGGGCCTGGCTAGACATGCATACCCCACTTGTCGAAGGCAGACTCGTGCCGCCGGTTCCAGCGCTCCTTAAGCGCATACTTCAGCATCTTGTCACTGGCATCCACACTCGTCACGCTGAAGCCCTCTTCCACTAGCATAATGGAGTCCACCCTGGGCAGGGCCAGCAAGAAGCAGCAGAGAGAGGCAGTCAGGGGAGCCTGGGAGGGCCAGGAGGAGACCCTGGGCCAGACACTTTTGTCTCCACATTTCAGAGTCCATTCCTCTGCCTCCTCTCCCCAGGCCCTCTCCACTGACCTCACAATCTGTTTCCTATCACCATGGGGCAACATTTTTTTTAAAAAGCACCTCTTGAGAGCCAGGCACTCTACAAATGTGCAGTAATTCTCATGGCAATCTTGAGAGGTAAATGGTGTTATTCCCATTTGAGAAATGGACAAATTGAGGCTCCTCGAAGTTAAATACGTGTGCACAGGAGGCAGTTGAACATAGTGGGTTAGAGCACAGGGCAGACCTTAATTAACCTGGGCCTGTTATCTCATCTTCACTGGATGATATATGAGGGACTTTTGCTTTGCTGAGGCCTTATTTCCCCAGTAGTAAATGGGAGAATATCACTGTTTAACCTCATGGGGCTTTGTGAGGGTTTGAAAAACTGATGTATAAAAAGCTCCTGGTCCCAGGCAAGGCAGGTGCAAATGCTGAGCAATGTTAACTGCTAACACTGCCCAAGGCCATCACAGGAGGAATATCTGGAATGTCTGTGGCTCTGGCTCCAAAGCCCCAGGGACCCTCACATTTCTGCCCACACCCTCACTCAGTCTCCCTTCTCCTTGGCCTCTCCCTGCGCATCCCTGCCCACCCCGGGCCTCCCCAGGCACTCGCTGTCCTTGTTCTGCCGGGCAGGCACCAGTTCCTGGCCCTGGCATCCCACCGCTCCAGGCCCGCAAAGGCCGCCCAGACGTGCCCGGCCCTGTGGCTCCGCGGCCCTGCGTACAGGCTGAGCTGGACCCCGATCTCACACAACGCCCCCGGCCCCCACCTTGGCTCACCCGGTGCCACAGGCCACGTCGAGCACCCGCTGGCAGCCGTGCTGGCGCAGCAGCCCGAGCAGCCATGCCTTGTACTCGGCGGTGCGGCTGCGGGTGTCTCCGATGTACATCTGCCACACGCGCGCCGCCTGCCCATCCGCGTACTGGTCCGGGAGCCCTTCGGCTGCCACCCCCAGGGAGCGGGTCCGATACACGCTGTCCACCATCCTGTGGCACGCCTGGCTCTGCAGCCACCCGCTCCAAACTTATAGCGGGGAAGTTCCCGAGGCCGACGGCCCCACCTGACCAATGGCAGGTGAGCTCTCGGACACGCCCCTGCTGGGCTTTGGGCAGGGCGCCTGAGGCTGCCCAGCTCCGAGGAGGGCGCTGCCTCGCAATCCCGGGCTGGGTCCTTTTCTCCAGCCTGCGGACCCAGTACTCTGCAATCCCACAGCGGGAGAGGACCCTCGGGGCCCTCTGGCTACTTAACCTGGGTCTCCAGGAGAAGACAAGAGAGGCCAGGAGAGGAGAAAGCAATGAGATTGCACTCCACCCCGACCCCAGTTAGAGAGGGAGTAAAACCTCAGATCCACAGAGCAGAGCGCCAGGCGGGCAGGACTGGACCGTTTCCAGGAAGGAAGGTTCCATGTTTAGGTGGGCAGCACCTAAACATGGAAGCAACTGCAGGTTTTGTTGTTGTTGTTTTTTTTTTTTTTTTTTGGACAGAGTCTCGCTCTGTTGCCCAGGCTGGAGTTCTGAAACTTTGTCATACCAGAGTTCTGAAAATGCATTTTAAAAATCTAGAGAATGGGGGCTGGTAGCTGTGGCTCACGCCTATAATCCCACCACTTTGGGAAGCTGAAGCAGGAAGATCACCTGAGGTCAGAAGTTTGAGACCAGCCTGATCAACATGGAGAAACCCCGACTCTACTAAAAATACAAAAAGTTAGGCTGGGCACGGTGGTTCATGCCTGTAATCCCAGCACTTGAGAGGCCGAGGCAGGTGGATCACCTGAGGTCAGGAGTTAAGAGATAAGCCTGACCAACAAGGTGAAAGTCTGTCTCTACTAAAAACACAAAAATTAGCCAGGCTTGGTGGCAGGCGCCTGTAGTTCCAGCTACTTGGGAGGCTGAGACAAGAGACTTGCTTGAACTGCGAAGGTGAAGGTTACAGTGAGCGCAGATCACACCACTGCACTCCAGCCTGGGCAACGAAGCGAGACTCCATCTCAAAAAAAAAAAAAAAAAAAAAAAAAATTAGCTGGGCGTGGTGGTACATACCTGGAGAATGGGCCAGGAACAGTGGCTTACGCCTGTAATCCCAGTAGTTTGGGAGGCAGAGGTGGGCAGATAGCCTGAGGTCAGGAGTTTGAGACCAGCCTGACCAACATGGTGGAACCTACCTCTACTAAAAATACAAAAACTAGCCGGGTATGGTGGTGCACATCTGTAATCTCAGGTACTCTGAAGACTGAGGCAGGAGAATAGCTTGGAACCCGGAAGGTGGAAGTTGCAGTGAGCCGAGATTG